AGCAGGAAATGCTGATGTAACACCAAACCAGGGCTATCAATTGTAAGCGTCCCTCAGTTGCCCTTGAAATAATGATATGCTACCTGCAAGTCAAGGTGCCACGGGGCCTTGGGTCTTTAATGGACACAGATCCCAGCTCTGACAGGTACCAGTTTGTTGTTGCAAGATTTGAGGCTGAAAGTTGGTAAATAGGATGTAGAGCTGCTGGCCATGAGCTCCTGCTATGCTCCATTAGTGGGGACAAGTCCTTTAGCTACCTGTCTAATGGCAGAAGATAAGAAAAAGTGTTGTCTGCCTTGTCCCCTATTCAGAAGTGCCTGTAAAATGCAGGAATGGCTTGCTGTGCCTCCAGATTGCAAAGGAAGAGCTGAAAGTGTTGCCTTGGCTCAGCAATTTCCCAGTGGAAGGCTAAAGGAGCAGAGGGATGGATTGAAAGGTTTGTTGGCTGAGAACAGGGCAGGTAAGAAGAATGAACTTAAAGGCCGTGTTAGTAAATGAGATGTCAGGAAGAAAGGAGTGATTTTGAGCTCTGAAGCATGGTTAGGGGTAACTATCCTGTAAAGCTGAATGATTGTGGCATACATGGTACCACAAATCCTTCCCTTAGAGTGGCATTTATTGCCTTTTTGGACTGTGTAAGACAGTGGCTGTTTGTCCGAGCAGTGTTCTGGGCAAGTATTTCTTATCCAAAAGACAATTTTTACTTAATTTTTTTACTAAAAATTGAACCACAGCCATGGTAATTTAAAATAAATCCTGAAAACAGCATCAACAAAAATAGTTAAAAAAAGGAAAAGAGAAAGAAATCCCAGGTAGATGCCTGTGTGTTGTTCTTTTGTAAAGTTCTGTCTCTGGGTATATTTTTCTTGTATCTGGCTTCCACTGTAGTGTCCTTTCTGGCTAGCAGAGAATGTTTTTTTGTTTTTTTTTTTCCCTTCTCTTTTATTTCATAATCTGTAGAAGGGCAAAGCTGAAGATTTGTGGGCTCTATCACTGAGTGATGATAGAGCAGTATAGGTACGCATTTAAAAAGAAGCATTTTTCATCATAGCAGGGGCCATGTGTGCCTCTAATAAAAGGCTTGCAGCAGTATATTGCAAACTAGTTAGGAGCAGTGCAGTTCCCAGAAGCCCAGATGAGTATAAAAGAGAAGTAGGTCTGAGAAGCTGTCGGGAACAGAGACATGTGACACAGCAGTGAGATGTAATCGTCTCAAATACAGGCAGTGGGAGAAAATGATCTGCAGAGTTTGAGATGCGGCCTCCTGATTAACTTTCCAAGAAGTGGCAGAGGTGGATCCCATTCTTTACACAAAGGCTTTGGACAGTTGAAATTGTTGGGAAGCTTTGCATGCTCATTTAGGAATAAGCCCCACAGGCTTGATCCCATGTTGAGATTTGCATGATGGGTGTTGTGCCTTCATGGAGCACTCCCTTTTTATTATTTTGTGTTTTTTCATGTTGCAAATTAGGGTGTCAGGTTTCATGTGCTGCCTTATTGAAGCTATGTAAATACCATAATTGGGTGCTTAGTAGAATTAAAGAAGAAATTAATTCTCTGGAGGCTTTCAGGAGGGCTCACTGTGCTATGGCCAACAGCATTTCTGAGCTCCTGTCTACTAAGAGAAGGGCAGTATTGAAATGCCTCCAAGAACATCTCCCTTCAGTTTGAAAGAGCCCTTCTTTACCGATGAGATAATTTTAATTGAACTGCTAAAATCTTGATTATGTTTGATAAGGCACGTTGGTTCCTGAGGAAGTTCTAATGATCTAAAAGGCACCTTCAAACAGTAGTTACAGAAGCTGGATCCAACCTGATTCCAGTTTGGTTTAGCTGCTTGCTTTCTCCATCCTCTAGGAGACAGTTCTGGTTGTTAAGGTAATTGTGGTGTTTTATTTGTAGGGTGGTTCACTTCCCAAAAAGGAATCTGAAAAGAAGAGAGCCATTTCTTTATTCTAGCATTAGTTTGTTTTCTCTTATTCTGAGACTTTGGGGGTTGGCATGCATCTCTGCTTGTGTGTATCTTCAGCAGCATGCACAGCCCCATAGCTATGTACGTATTCTCCCCAAGCATCAGGCAGAAGTCTTATCTTTGTGTGCATGACATACAGCTCGCTCCATGGAAACACTTTCAGATATCCTCACCAGAGGAAGGAAATGGCTCCTGTCTCTGGAGTTTTACATTTGAGCAAGTAATTCCAATTTTTCTGCTTGGGGAATGTTTATTAACGTGAATCTTCCCCCCCACACCCCGATTTCGGGTGTTGTTTTTCACTCACGCTGCTTCTTTTAGGACTTCTGGTTGCGCTTAGTTGGGGTGGCATCATTTCTGGTTTCTGGTGAGGTGAACCATGAGCATACACATTATTGTCATAGCTTTTCTGGCACTTATGACAGCATAACTCCAACAGATGGATGTTTGCAGAAGCAAACACAAAGATGTGGGCATGACCAGTGACTGTGAAAGCAGGGGTTTCAGAATAGCCACAGGGAGCTACGCCCAGGTGTCTTTTTTAAAGTCAACCTGGTGGAAGTTAGGAACTTCCATGCATTTAGAAAGCAAATTTGCCCGGCAACACTCTCCCTTGGTGAACATGGAAGCCATGTTCACAGCACAGTTCCTGAATTCAAAGCCACCTAGGGGACTTTGCAGCTGGTATCCAGATTTCTTCTGGTAACCTGTCTGTAGCCACTGGGAACCAGATGCCTACAAACCTGCCTGACCTTACAGCACACAGGATGCTGTTAGGACAGATCCTGGTCATCTCCCCAGCCACAGGCTGTCAGCATGAAGGCAGATGGAATGGCTGAGGTCCTGTGACCATGCTATACTGCCAGTAAGCCTGTGCTAGGCGTTCCTGTAAGTATATGTGCACCTGATGTTCCTCTGTGGGCACACCAGCATGAGGATCATAGAGCTGACATCAGGGGATTTTTTCTGACAGCTACACCATGCAAGTAGGAGAGGGACTGTTTGGGCTTTAAGACCACCTGTTTTGTGGGCTATTTTGTGAGATGCACCCTGTGTATCTAACTCCCTTAAGCTGCTTTGGTGGCCCTAACATAAGAAGTTGCATGGACATTAAGGGGTATCTTTGTGCAGTATCCTTCTGACCCGTACCAGTGAGTGCTGCAACGCTGGCAGCCTACGCAGGGATGCAGATGCAGCACTACATACACAGACTCTCACAAAAAAAGGAAATAGTGACCTTAACCTTGTCCCTGGGTCTTTTGTGACCTCCTGGCTGCATTCAATACTTATTTTATACCTGAATGACCCAACTTGCCATTGGTGGGAACACATGGGGTAGAGTGTTGTGGCGTCCTTTTTTATTTCGGGAAACTTTCATAAGTGATTAAGTGGTTTTGTATGAGAAATGGAGCTTCTTTATCACATTTTGCACTCACAGAGGAGTGAAAGGAAAGGACATGCGTAGGAGCTGCTCTGTCACAGCCTTTTCCTCCTTCCCCTTGGCTGCTGCTCAGATGTAGTACCTTGGCATGGATAACGTGGCCATGAAAGGCAACGGGAAGTGCCGAGCTCTGCGGGCCAACCCCTCAGTAAGCTCACCACCATCCACACACTGTCCTTTAAAATGTCTTTTGCAGCTGCTTAGAGCAGCCCCAGTGACTAGGCTGGTGAGACAAAATTTTACCAAGAGAGGAAAAAGCGCCGAGAACATTAACGGCAGGGCCAACGGCCATTGTGTGTGTGTGTGGACACACAAAATGGTGAAGTGATTTGAGACAGGACCTGAGCTGGTAAAAGCTGATGTGCAGCTCTCTCAGAATGGTGGCTCCTCATCATGGTAGTGGCTTCCCTCTCTCTTTGTGCCCCCTGCAAAATCACAGTGTGAGTCTTAGCCATAGCTGGCTCTGAAGGAGTTGATGGAAGTTTTAGCCATGACAAAGCTGTCTCTAAGCCCTTCACTGCAATGCAATGTGCAACCTATTTCATTGACTGAGCTAGCATGAAATGCTGCACCACTTCTGCTGTGTTTCAGCTGAAGTTAATGCTTCCCGAGGAATGCACATTAGCTATTCCAGATGTACAGAGCTGGCTGCAGTGTCGTTATGGCCCCTGCAAAATAGAACCACCCACACCATTGCCAATTTCGTCTTGTGACTGTGATTATATCCAAAACAAGGACTGGTGCGAGCTGAGCTCTGTATTTAATTCTTATATTGTAATACTGTGGTTAGAAGCAGCCAAAGAGGTCTCCAGCCAGTGGTAACCGAAGCAAGTGGGACTCCTGGTTTGACGCCAGCGAACGTAGACGTTGGTTAGTTGGCACATTGGGTTTAGAATTATTTTGGGAGCTCGTAAACAATTATTAATGAGGATAAAATGGCAAGACCTGGTCATTTTTGGGTTCTGTGCTGGTTTCCCTCCTTGGACTCATTTTTGGTAACCTGTGGTGAAGAGCATCTACTAAGTAGTTTGTTTTAAAGGTCTGCCACGGTAAAAGGGTCTGGGGAGTTTTATTTTTGGTCAGCCGGTTTGTGCTGGTGGCGGTGGTGGCTTTTTGGTTGGATTTCTTTTTTTCTGCTTTTTTTGAGGGGGCTCCTGACTATTTTTATTTTGCACCTGCACATTTTTGCAAGTGTGGATTCTTGGTCTTGAGCTTTCAAGAGTGACATACTCACACTTGCAGCTGACACCTGCACACACTAGCAATAACAAATCCTGTATGTAAAACACTTCACCTGTAGGAACAGGTACTTAAGCTTCAAGAAACATGTGTTTACCGGTGCTGTAGGAGTGAGAGGAAAGCAGCTCCTGGGATGCCTGCTTTTCCAGCTTTGCTTGCTAGAACTGCCCAAAGGAGTTGGGAGACTTTGCTATGAAAATCAGCTCCTTGATTGGTTAGATTGCGATGCGTCTCCTGCAGTGTTAATTTAATATTTTTTCTCCCCAGTGGTGTTACAGTCTCTGAGGGTCCTTTTAACCTTCCTCTCATGACAGTGTCTTCTCACTCTTTCTTGCAGATCATTTTGAACTCCATGCACAAGTATCAGCCAAGGGTCCACATTATTAAGAAGAAGGATCACACGGCTTCCTTGTTAAATCTGAAATCGGAGGAGTTCAGGACATTTATCTTTCCAGAGACAGTTTTTACAGCTGTTACTGCCTACCAGAATCAACTGGTGAGTACAGTTGCTCATTTCCATGGATTTAGCTATATCCCACACTGCTGAAACTCCCTTTTCCCTCACCTGATGTAACCTACCTTTCAATGCCAGTATCTGTAGTGACTTTGTCCAACCTAGTTCCTATTCAGGAGTAATCTTACATATACAGGTAGTACTTCTAACTTCAAAGGGTCATAAGGCTTATTCATGGGAGTAAAGAGAACGTGAAAAAAAGCTTTCATTTGTCTTCCCTTCTGCCTATCCAAAGTTGTTTGCATATTATCATTTAGACCTTTTCAAGTTATAGCTCATTAAGGACCTATTCTTATTTGCAGTGATCTTTCACACCATGAGCTGTTAGCTGAGAGACACTCTGGTTTGCACATGATGATTTCACGGGCTAAAAAGTTGACTAATTAGGTCGTAAGGCTCAAACATAAGGCAAATCATTCAGAGATATGCTTTTCAGAGGCTGCCCAGATTATATCCAGATGTTTGAATTTCAATTTACATGCCAGTGAATAATATATACAAAATGGAGATCATAACAATGGATTGCTAATGAGTAATTTTAGGAAGTATATAAACAATCACAGAGGCTCTGCTTGACAGTGGATAGGGCTTTAATATTTAAGTCAGTGGAAATATGTTGTTGGCTTCAGTGCAATTCAGACTGTGCTTGAAGGGCTTGGTGACTATGGCACTTAAAAAAAAATACCTCTTTCCTTCTCTAATTCCCCCAGGTTAAGAAAAATATAAGTACTGAACAAACATGTGGGCTGGCAACATCACAGATTAATGTACCTGCTGGATTATTTAAAGAAGTTTGTATTTCTTCATATGAAGCAAAATAAATTAATTTCTAAATGCTACAAGTAAAATGAAACTATAAAAGGGGGGGCAAAGAAGCTCTGAAGATAATCAATCCTTGTGACAGACCCCATACCCCAATTTAAGACTTTAATATCAGAATGTATTGATTTTAAACTCAGGTTTGTATCTGAATGCCTCAGAAAATGCATTCAGCACCTGGCAGTCTCAAGAATATGATGTTTGGACAGGCAGCTAGATTTTTCCACTTAACTTTCTGTAGAAACTAGCAAAATAGTAACAGGCACAAAACCAGCTAAACCTGGAATTTATTTCTGTAGGAAGGATTTGTGTTTACCAATGACACTTACACCAGAGATGTTTCTAAATTAACCTTCCGAGAGCACATACATTGAACCCTGGAAAACTTCTCAATGGAACATCTCTGGAACCCCTAGAGGTTGATGCTGTCATTTTATTTATGACTAATGAAAATGGAGCCTTTTTTCATTTTTGCCATTTCTTTCAGAACTGTTTTAAGGAGGGATTGATTACATTTCTGGAGGTTATTAGATAAAAGCTAAATACATTACACTTTCAACAAACTATCTCATCATTTAAGATTTAAAGGGCATGCATTTATTTAAACAGCCAAACCACTGCCACAGAGTTGAATTGTAGGTCAGATTTCATTTAAAAATGCTTTCTAGCAGATGTTCTCTGATTGTTTGTGAGACAGTCTCTCAGGAAAAATATGGCCATAAATGATTGTGAGTCTCATCTGGCTTTGGTGGATACAAAAAGTTTCTCTCGTGATGTCATACCAAATCTTTAATATTAGGAAAATGGAAGTTTGATTGGTGAAAATATGCTCAAGAGATGAATAGACGTCCTTATTACTCTGCAGTGCAGTTGGCTCGGTGTGTTGGTGACCTAAGTCAATGGAACTAGTTAGAGCTTGTCTTTGTTCAAAGCATTTTCACAATGCTGCCATAAAAATACTCCCTGTCCGTGAGGCACTAACCTGCCACTCTTTGCAACATCACCACGAGTCGACGGCTTCTGGACACCCTGGGAATAGGGTGAGAAGGGGTCCTGTGAGAAGGGTAGTATGCAATGTAGTCCATCACTTGTATCTGCATGATGAGACAGCCTCAAACCCTCAGCCAGTCCTGAGGTCCCCATGCTGCTTGACCAGCCCATAGAAACAACCAGCAACCTGTGGTGCACCTTGCTTAGTGCCTCAAAGCAAGGACCGTCCCCAGAGAACTTGTCCCTGGGTGCACCTGGCAAGTCAGGCAGGGAAGGCAGCAGCCCAGAGATGCAGTGAGTTTCCCAGGGCCACAGAGAAGGTTGGTGGCTGCTGCTCAGCACCTCATTCATATACTGCAGACCAGCAATTAAATAATCAGTTTTTGTCTTTGTAAGCCCATCCCTCCCTCTCTGTGTTTTCCTTCCAGAGGACTTCTTTCTAGGAGTGAAAAGTTAGGTTCAATCATTCTCTCTCCCTTTTTTTTTGTTTGTTTGTTTTTTGTTTGTTTGTTTGTTTGTTTTTAACTTTTGGAATAAAAGCCACCCCATTTTGAAATACCTTTGTTTGATGACAGCATTGGATTGTTTGACTCTTTGGAAAAGATCCCTTTTCTTTCCAAGTCTTGAGGGCCAGATATTAAAAATGAGGTTGTGGCCTCTGTGATAGAGGCTTGTTTTGTTTTGTTTTAAGGAAACCTAGGCTGAAATAGCCACTCAGTATGAAATGCTGGGAGCTGTTGGTTATTGTGTATTTCAGCTAGAGCTGGTCGCATTCACAGGTCCTGTGTTGTCCCAAATCAAACTCCAACTCCCACTTGCATTTTTCTTTTTAATTCTTAGAAGAAGTATCAGTATGGCTAGGAAATCTGAATATTATGACGTCTCAGGTTTTATTCACCAAATCTCATTTGGTTGGACAGCTAGAAAATTTCACAGGGCAATAGTGTGTTTTTTCCTGCTTCCAAAAAAACTGCAGCTGAAGTCAGCACCTGTGCCTGCAAAAGTCTAACTGGAAAGTTAAGTGGGTTCCTGACACTTTGGGACAGAGGGACTTCTGATTAGTGGGTCACTCTGGCAGAATAGAAAGGCTGACAGGGTGCACTGAGCAGGTTTGTAGCTGCATTTGAAGAAAGGAGGAGAGTTTTAGTTGTACAACCTCTGCACTCCCAGAACTGTGAAGGTATTTATGGGGTTATTCCTTTAACCCAGGCTCCGCCACTTTAAATCTGAGTTCTCAACACATTTTCCCTCCTTCCTTTCTTCCCTGTTTTGGCCCCTTTCTGTGCAAAAACAGCTAAACTGCCCCCGTGTGATGGCTGATAGGTCTGGCTGAGAATATTTACGTCCCAGGAAAAAAACATATCTAGTGAACTGAAGCAACATCTTCAGGTCTGCAGCCAGCAGCTCGTAGTTTGGGCTCATACTAGCTGACGTGCAGCTCCATTGAAGTGGCTCACATGGTAGCAGAATGCTGTGCATTGCTCATGGAAAAGACAACCTAATTCATGCTGTTAAAGTATTTGGAAGCAGCAATGTTGTATGTGGGTGGGTTCCTCCTGTTCTGGGTAATGTGAAAGCTGAGTCCACTGCTTGTGCCCTTTGGTCTTTCCATTGCCATCTGTGTAATACAACCTGATTTGCCTCCCCAGCTTTGCAGCATCTCAAGAGTAGTGTGCACTCACACAAAAGGGACACGGATAAAATTAGCAGTGAAGTCAGGAGGATGGATTGGTTAACACTTTGTATGCTGCAATACCTTAACACTATATTCATGTCGTGTTGCTCTTTTCTGTGTTTCCAGATAACCAAGTTGAAAATTGACAGCAACCCTTTTGCTAAAGGATTCCGGGACTCTTCCAGACTCACTGATATCGAGAGGTAATGGGGACTTTCTGTTTACTTTCCATGCAGATAAGATAAAGAGAAGAGAGTTTGTAGGAAAAGCGTCCTTTCAACTCCTGAGAAGCTGTGCGTTTTAATGTTATCTGGTTGCATACAGTAAGCCTCCTCCACCTCTTTTAAAAATACTTATGATCTTCATGAAGAAAGAGCTGTTTTGAGTTTTGACATCTGTTCCAGTTGAGGCTGATATATTCATCTTCCTGAGGGGGCTTCTTGAAGAAGGGAGAGGGTCAGTTTTACAACTCCAGAATGAAAAGTGTTTTTCTTATCATGCCATTTAATCCTAGTGAGGGCTGTGAATTGGGTTACTGGGAAACAAGGGCAGTAGTCCTGTGAAAAAACATCTTTATAGCTCCCCACTGCTCCACACAGTGGAAAAGAGAAAGGGGAGCTTCCCAAAATACACTTCAGCAGTCCCAGACACTGAAGTCAGCAATTATTGCCATTAGGATGAATCCCATAACTCCTACTCTGACGACAAAGATGCCATTTTAGTTTCACCAAAATTGTACAGCAGGGTGCATCAGAGGAAAGCTTTATCTGGAAACTGTTGAGTTCTGTGTGTGTACAGCTCATTATAAGCAACTGCTGCCATAGGGACAGAAGCATTAACACACAGTTGAGTAGGAAATACACTTCAATCTCTTGGTAGCTCTCCAACGTGTCACATTTTTATGATATCGTGTCAAATAGTTTGGCAAATGAAGCAAATTAAGTTGCCTGTGTCCCTTAGGCTGGAAGTGAACATGATGGAGACGAATATAGCCCATCCAAATTTTCCTATGAGCACACAATCCTGAAAGAACTCTCGGAGAGCCCAAAACCCTTCAGGCTCCTATGTGGCAATATCCAGATGAATCTCTGAATGATCTTTTAAGGGTGCATGTAGGGGACAAACTGCTCAATGAAGTCACATGCATGCAGATAGAGAAAGTATTTACAGCATTTCAAAAGTATATCAATCTAAGCAGGTCCATGGATGGGAAATAGTGGCATATTTTATACCTTCCTAGTAACTGGATTAATAGTGATCTGTTGAGTAACTGAGTGAAAGAGCAGTCATATGGGAAAAGCCAGCTTGTAGACTACAGTGTGCACTTGCAAACTTGTTAAGAATTGCCTCCTAAGTGAAAGTTTTCACTGAAAAGGGAAAAAGCAAAGCAGATTTAATTACTATATCATAGCCTGTTGTATCAACACAGTACCAAAGTAAACAGCATTCACAGCTCTTGTCTTGTTTGTATAAACTATGCAATAAATAGTCAAGAAAAGACCTGTAGGAAGAGACTTTGAATCTTCACATTTTGGTTTCCTTGTTTTATAGACAGGCAATATTTAATGGCACAGTTTTGTATGGGCAGAGAGGTTGAAATAGATAAGCTAGGAGAAAAACTTATTTACTTCTGTGCAGAGGAACCAACTATCATGGTGCTGGATACGAAGGGAATTTTTCCAGAGGACATCTTATTATAACAGCACATGGCATGGAGTCAGAAATGCTCAGCCTAAACCGCAGTGCCCTTTTGTTTATTGATAAGTGTAAGAATAGAGCCTGTGAGAGGCAGCCTAGCCCAGGCACAAACCTTGTCATGAAAGATAAAGTAGCCAAATGTGAAATCTCCAATAAACGCAAGAAGCAGAATGTGCAAAGTATTGCAATGGAATTAAAACTCTGGATTTGAGAGTCCAAGTTTAGGTAATGTCTTATTTTTACTTAAATGGGAAATCTTAGCCCTAATAAGTGAGCAACAGTATTTAAAAAAACCCAAAACCTGCTGCACAACACATCAGGAAATGAGGAAGTAGAAGTGTAACACACAAGAAGGTTGGTAAGAGAGGGAGAATTTCCTAAGTTATCTGATACGATCCAGAAACATCAAGGGTTTTATTCAGGTCCAGCACTAAAATATTTAGGCAGATGAGAATGTCATTCTCTAAGCGCCCACTGGTTCTATAGATCTCATCTCAGTGCCAGCAAAATTGCTTAAATAAATCTGGTATAAAACAAAATAAATAGCAAAGCGAGACATGCCAACAGGAAGAGTTTCCTGCTTGATGTCCATCATGTTACAAGATGTAGGTGATAGATTGAATAGTACAGTGTAACTCTCACTCAGTCTAGTTGGAAACTTGATTGTTTCTATAAAATTACTGCCTGAGAAAAATATTTCTTTGCCAGGGAAAAAATGATGTGGCCACACACACACAGCCCTTGAAAGTGAGTATTTATCCAGAAGCAGTGAAATGCCTTCCATGCACTGTTTCCTAGGCAGGTCTGGCGACAGTGGGTGCACAAGTAACCTGCAATACTGCGTGGTGATCCTAATGGTCTCCTGCAAAGCACCCTGTGATGTCAGGGCCAAGAGAGCACTCATTTATCATGAGTTCCAGCTTTTCCGAATGACCTAAGTAGTGTGAAACTGTACAGAGCTTTGGATTTCATTTCTAGGTATTTAAGCATGCTTTTTCCTAAACAGCCTTTGGGGAGGGAAACAAATCAGATCAATTGATCTTTAGAGACCTAAAGAAATTAAATTAGTCTGGAGTCAGTTACTGCACTAAACCATCCAGTAATTGGATTGCTCCTTGTAACTGATTGAAAACAGCCTCTATCTGTAACAATATAGGGAGCTTTTCTTTATAGTAGATCTGAGAGAAAAACACATCTTTTTATGACATGATGACAGAAATTGCACTTTTTTAACCTAATTGAATATGATTTTATAAATATGTGACTTTAACGATTTCAGGCTTCCCATTCTAGATTTACGATCCCTATTTAGGAAATTCAAGCTGCAAATGCCTTTGAGATTTAATCTGTTTGCATTATATGTGTTGGCTTTAAAATAATATATGTAAAGGTGGTGAAATTTGTTAAACGGCAGAGGAGGTAGGCAACAGCAAGGATATTAAAATGCCTGTATTTTCTTTTGTTCCTGTCTAAATACTTTACAAAAGTTTCCTGCTACTCATAGCTGTATATGCAAAGTTTTTAACCACTGAAAAAAAAAAATTTGTCGAGTTTGGGACACAGTGAATTTTAAGTAGGATGTGAGATTCCTTCCAGAATCCACTCCTTCCATACATTACTTGCAGTAATCTATTTATGGCAACAAAGCAGACACATCCGGGGCTACTGTGATTTACATAAGTTGCTGATTCACCTTTTGATCTTTTTACGTGGTATTTATATTTCCTCTATTATCAAAAGGCTTCCACAGTGGTTATGATTGAGAAACTGAACATTTAGCAGCAATTGTCAGAACATGGAGCTTAACGTACTGTGGTGTTGACTGTGCAGCAATGTGGATGAGTGTCATTTTTTTTAATTACAGCCTTTGCAAAAAAGACTAATGCAGGTTTTGTAATGAGCAATTCACTTTGAAGACAGGCTTTAATGGAATATCTTTTTGCTTCCGTTTAAGGACAAAAAAACTTGTCAAAGACATAAGAGGTGCAAAATCAGAACCCAACTAACTAATTTTTCCATCTTGAGCCTGTATCTATCTTCTGAGTTCTTATGAAGAATCAGCCTTTTTTAAAATGGAGAAAGAAATAAAACCATCACAATTAAGTATCATGCAAACAATCCAGTGAAAAAGGCAGTTATTTCAAGACTGTGAGTCAACTGAACTACTGAATGGCAAAATAATGACCAAACAAGAATTGATAGATTGTAATAGTGAACTGAACGTTGCTTGTCTATTTGATCCAGTATGTGATAGGCAAGCTCAGGGTGTGGGCTTACAAATATTAAAGTGGCCTAAGGGAGTATATACCTATCTGCACAACTTCAGTAGAGTTTCTGGGAGGTAGGTACGTACATGGGGGGCAATGTGGAAAAGTATGGCTGCACACCCAAATAATATTTAAGCAGAGAAAAGAATTGGGGAATGAGAGAAGTAAGAGAGCAGCACCCCAGCATTCCAGCTGGATTTGCATGGTAATCAGATTCTGAATTATCCCCTGAGGAACTTCATGTCTGAGATGCGGAAATACATTGTACCTGCTTACAGGCTGTAAGTGAAATGGATGCTAATGCCTGGATATGGGCACTGTCATGTTGGAAGTATCAGCCAAAGCCATGTGCTTAAAGATACGCTGACTGCAGCAGTCCTCTCTTCCAGCCCTTCGCTGCGCATCCCACAGAGCTGCCTTCTTCCCTGTTCCCACTTCTTCCTGCTGGTCTAGAACTTCTCTGACTCTTGAAAGCCTCCTACCAACCACCAGGAATACATCCTCTCTGAGACCTACTTCCAGGTCCATGGTTAAGCAGGGCTTTGTCATGGTTCTCCAAGTCAGCTCACAAGCTGATCTTTTATCCTCAGGTAGTTCTCAGTCTGTGAATGTCAGCAGCCAGCCCTGGGAGATCATCTCTGATATCTGGGTTGGGAGACGTGAAGTCCTGAATTTAGGGAGAAACACTAGGGACTCAGGTGCCTAAATGCCTGGTATCTGGTGCAATTCCTGATGTGCTAATGCCTTCAGCTGACGCTCCAGAGGGTTAAATATTGTATATATTTTCTCTATCATCCCTTCCAGACCATTGCAGATGATCTGCATGTCTTAGAAAGAGCTGTCTGCCTACATTTAGACAACAGAAGCATTCCCTTCAAATGTGGTTCCTTCAACTCTGCTTATTGTTAGCCTGGCAACTGTTGTTGTTCCCCAGCAGAAAGGCTCTCTATGCCAGCTAAAACATTTCCAGTTCCCATGCTTTTAAGCACTCATATCCTGGCTCATTTTCCACTTAGGTATTCTGTTATCTAGCTTCTTAGTTGTGCAAAATGATACAAGAACATTTTATTTTGCTAGTGTTTTCCGCCCACCTATTGCAGGTGTAGTGTGTGCATATGAGGAGGGGATGACATCAGATCAGACCCCCAGTTTCCACCCCAGAGTTTTCCAAGGACTTCCACAGGTCATAGATTCTCAGCACTGAACTGTCCTTACCCCTCACCCTCTGACTGGCAGTG